CTCACCTTTTGCTGCAGACAGGATTCCACCCTCACTTTCTTCCATTTTCCCTTCTACTGCAGCTGCCTCTGGGCATGTTGCTATAGAGCCTACCTGTATGTCAATAAACAACAGCTGAAGCAAAAAAAAAAAAAAAAAGAACAAAAACAAAAACAAATATGTGACCTTGGGTAAGTTATCTACCTGTTCTAGCCTCAGTTTCACCACCTATAATATGGGGGATATCACAGTCCTTCCTTATCAGGGTGTTGTACGGATTAAGAAGACCCATGCAAAGTTTCCCCAGTAAATGTCAGACCTTTGCCTGACATGTCTGGGTGGCTCCAGCCCCTCAGGCCTGAGCGCTGCTGGCCATGAGTGTCATCAGATGGCTCCTGAATGGTGGTACCCACAGAGAGACGCAGCTGGAGCTCTAGGACAGAGGGGAGATGCCATGGGTTGGCTTACTCAACTGCCTTCTCTCCCTACCTCTCAGGTAACTATCTATGCTGCAGAAGGTGGGAAGGTGGGAAACACATGTGCCAGGGGCCTTCACAGCTGGTGTGCTAGATGCAATCTGTTTCCACAGTAAAACTCAAAGGCAGAAATGAAATGGAAGCCCCTTTGGGTGGTTTTTTTTTTTTTCTCTTTCTCCCCTTCCCTCCCCCTTTTCCTCTCCTGACAAGGAAATTTTTAGACAGTAAGGAATTTCTTTTTGTTGTAATTTCAGATCAGCATGATAATACATACAACTAGGTTACATTTGTAAGGTAAAGCCTAAGTTGCAGTTGAGTCCTGCACCCAGGTAGTGTACCTTAGACCCCTACATTGTACCCATTAGATGAAAAATTACCTAACCTCCCTCCCCTTTCTTAAATTTAATTGTGTTTTCCTTTCATGTGGTCATACAATGTTGACCTACTAGTTTCATGCTTGCTTTTCCATTCTTGAAATACTTTACTCAGGAGAATGTTCCCCAAAGCCATTCAGGTAAATACAAAAGATGTAAAGTCTCCATCTTTTTAACAGCTGAATAGTATCCCATGGTATCCATATACCAAAGTTTATTAATTAATTCATGGGTTGATGAGCTTCTGGGTTGTTTCCACATCTTTGCATTTGTGAATTGAGCTGTTATAAACCTTTGAGTACAATTGTCCTTATGATAAAATGATTTTTTTTCTTCTGGGTAGATACCTAGTAATGGGATTGCAAATGGATCAAATGGAAGGCCTACTTTTAACTCTTTAAGGATTCTCCATACTTCTTTACGAAAGGTCTGTATTAGTTTGAAATCCCACAAAGAGAGGAAGGAATTTCGGCAGCAGTATTCTAGAGTCCTCTTTTCAGTTTCTTGGGTATCAAGAGATAGATGGAGCCCAGGAGCCCATAGATCCACGAATGGATCAATAAATTGTGGTATATGTACACCATGGAATACTATGCAGCC